ACTTGCTTGTTGATCTGTAGATGCCCTCATCAGCGAATCGTCCAAGTCTCTAGGACGACTATTCCAATCTTGCATAATCTTACCCTTGACCCGCTTCCATCTGCTCCAACAAGAATATCGCAAGTATCAGTAGTGCCGTCGGCGAAATGAACCCTCACATTTTCTTGTCCATCGTTGCTTTGGAAAACTTCATACCCCTCAAATGCTTTTTCGAACCGGATGATGCCCCTTTCCTGCAAGGGAGCAACTAGGATATCCCGAAGCACGACGCGATTGATAGCGGAAGACGCACTATATGATGGAATCTTGCCCAAGTCAAGCACAGTCTGGAATCCCGTATTCATCAAGGTCGGTGCAGTGAGACCTGTGGAAGACATTTGACTGAATTGTGACTTGATGGCCGCAATGTCTGTCGGCTTAAGACAAGCATTGAAACCTGTCATGGCGCTGTCGCCCAATCGTATCTGGAATCCCTCTCTTTTGGCATCTTCAGCGTCACGTTCGTAGACGGTCACATTAATGCCGTGGTTGACGAGACCGTTTGCGAGGAGTGAGCCAGCGAGACCGCCACCTGCGATGATTACTTTGAAGGGCGCAGTCATGATGAAAAGTAGTTGATTGTCAATTCCCAGAATGATTCAACATGTAGTGACTGGGAGGCTGTAATGGTGACCTTTTCGTGGATTAAATCATCTTGAAGCACTCCAAGGTAAGCATCCTCTTGCCCGATCCTCTAGCAATTTGATGTAGCAACTTATGAGTAGAACCTCTTGCACGTGAGTTGAGTTTCGGTAAACGAACACGGCATTGCGTACGGCTTGTCTACTTGATTCCATAATCACTGAGAAGAAGTCATTGTGATGTCTCATGCCGCCAAGGCAAGTCCCCCTCCCCCACCGTCGGATGTCATGCCAACTCCACACGGATCCGTGACGGGGTACGTGGCCGCCTTCCGACTGGCTCGGTGTTCGGTGCCCGCAGCTCTCCGATGCGTCGCTTGAATAAGGTTACATGTCACAGGGCAAAACCAAACCACAATGGTCGGCCCGTTCCTATTGAGTTGCCAAACAGAACCAAAATGGACTTTCTCGCCTGGAAACTTGCTGGTTGGCCTAACCGAGTCCAACCTTCGATCATCAGGTTAGTTCAGAAAAGCGGTTTTGCGAGACCGAACTCGAGCTCTTCCACTGTTGATGAGGTATGAGCATGGACCATGGCAGTTGCGGCGGCGGTGTTTACTCGATACGGCTTGATCGCACTATGATTTCGTCGCCCAAAGATGTTAGTCACTTAGAACGTACATACTCCATGTGCTGCCTCCCCCACCTGTTCCGAAAGATGAAACTTACCCCTCATCATGGAGAGCCCAGATCACTTTCTTGGGTTGAGATAGCCACCGGATCTGGTTCGTCGCGAACTGGGCTGCAGATCCATCGTAAGGTCGGCCGTTCAGATTGGCTCGCCCCGCGATGGTGAGGATCGCCACATCTGGGGTTGGCTCAATGCTCTTGATAATGCCCTCATAGCCACCCAAATGTCCGTTCCAGAACACAGTCTGCCCGGGCCCGATAAGGAAGTTGTAGGCTAGTTGACCGCCATCGTAGTGCGAAAACACGTTGTTCATCCTGTCGCTGATGTACTCTGCAAAGGATTTCATTCCGTCGTCCATCTGTTCGGGCGGTATGTTTTCTTTGTTGCGCAAGAGGCCGTATTTCATCCCCATTGTAATGTCAAGGGTACAAGTATACGGTGTAGCCTCGCCTTTGTAGACTGTTCCAGTGTCAATCTCCTCTGGAATATCATGATGTCCACTTCCAGGCATCAGAGCATGTAGAGAAGGCCAAACGTGAACAGACATGACAGCTCGAGAGTGATTCGGTCTAGCTGGCATTCCGGGCGGCCCATCAGCGATAGGTATTTCGCCGTCTGCCGCAGATTTACGGTCGTTCTTGGTGAACAATGGAATACGCTCTCCGCCCGCGACGGGGAATAGCTGAAATTCGTTGACGCCCGCATCTCGGAGAAGGTTGATCGCCTCGCCGTTTGCGATAACCACAGCACCGGTCTTCTTCGCTATCTTATCCGCACCAGGCAGGCTATGGCTACTGTTTAGCCTTACACAAGCATAATCCAGAGAGAGCCTAATTGACCTACTGATCGAAATGGGCATGGGATATGAAGATATAATCTGCTTCAATCACATCATTGATATCAAGATGCTTCGGTAGCACAGAGGGCCTCTCCAACCATGTATCTAGAAACAAGACCAGACCGTTGGCTCGCAGTCGAAAGGTCGTGGCGCCTAGGTTGCCGTCGATGGAGTCAGTTCACGTGCTTCTATTGACTCAGTAGAGTGCTGCTATGTTATAGACTGACCGAACCATTCGATAGTCGGCGGACCCATCGTTTCGACGCAACTGATGGAAAGGATGTAAGTATACCAACGCAGACTGGGCGGCTTTTGCGGGAGAGCTCAAGGTATGGGAGTTGTAAAAATGGGGTAGAGGTTCCGATCTAAAGTACGGATGGGAATCACAGTCTAGAAATATGAGGTCAAAGGCGTCCGAAGTAGCATAGATGCCTAAAGTGGTAAGGTGGGAGCGCTTTGCTTAGCTTATGTGTGGATGGATCATCGCATGTGCCTCAAGTCGGACTTTAATCGTCCCCGAGAACGAGACTTTGTGTCCATGCTCGGCGTTGTCCCGCGAAGCGTAAGACCCATATCAACCATCTTGAGTTCATTGTGGCTCTTGATTATTAAGACTCTCAGTGACGACGGTGCCGAGTTGCAGGTGATCATGCCTTTGAATTGGATCTCTTGCTACCCTGCACGTGCCTGCATGTCAAACTTCTGCGGTTCTTGTCGTCCTGACAAATTGAGTTGGCGTCAACCTTAGGCAACTGAATCACAACACATCATCCAATGAGTAGTTCTTAAGTACGGCAAAAGAAGCGTAAACTCACTTCAAAATGCCAAAACAATTCATCACCCAGGGTTGTTTCGTGACATGTCAGATCTTTTACCTAAGATCGGGTGTTTGTCCCAAAAAGAACAGCCAGAGAGCCAAAAAGAGGCTGAATTTCCAAGTTGTGGCATGTATTTGTGAGAAACCTTATTACTCGATCACTGCTCTATATGTAAGATGGTAACCGAACAGCAACTCAACGACATGCGGAAACAAGCTGATGTCACCTGTTGTGTCTTCTGCTCAGGGCGCTGCTGGCTATGTCGAGAGTCATGCAGAACACTTTGCTGGTAGTGGCTTATATTCCTCGCGGCTTCTAAAAGGGCTTCCATCCATCCTTACTTCTATTATTGCCCAGCAAGATTTCGTTGTCAGTAAGACTTTCCAACAGCACCTTATGCATTGCTCCGACTCCAGCCAAACCCAATGCTACACGGCTACCGTCATAGTATCGCCATCGGATGACTCCAAGCCCGAGGACGTGTAAACCCACTGCCGGCAGTATCGTCACTGACATTTGATACGCGTTCGCTCACCATCTCGCTGAATAACTCCCAAAGTTGGACATATAGCTCGACATGGGTTTCCGAGCCCTGGTCAGATGAATGCCCATATGTGCATATTATGTTGCGTCTTAGTCGACATCAGAAAGAGATTCGAGTCATTGGAGGTCACAGGCATAAGCTATTTCCAGCGAGAAAGGGACCAGATAATTTGCTAGCCGAGAAGCCGAATCAGCTCTCAATTATGGGGAATTTCACAACGATCGAGTAAATATTCAACAGCTTGCTATAGAGAACGTGTCAGATAATAGCCGACGGTATGCCTCCCGCAAAATTCGACCACCGAAAGCTCAAAACACACTATTCAGCAATCTGCTCGGTATCTTGAATCCGGTGCGGGTCCTGTGTCTAACAAGTTTTGTCGATAACACTGCCACCTTGTCAGCTCGATCGAACCGAATATCCTCGCAGTCTGCTTTGCTTGCAACTTACCATTGCTGAGTTTGACACTTTCCATTGACGGGATTAGGATACTGTCCTGACTTTGGATCGCATGAGACAGTCTTGCCGCCAGTGCAAGTGGCGCCCAAAAAGTTCCCCCATTGCGCGAAAGTAGCAGAGTAATCGCCACCCATCGCATTCCAGCCGCGCCAGATATCGAAAGCACCAGTGTATGTCTGAAGGCCAATGGCGCACGCACCTTGGCCTCCGCTCACGGGCGAATTTGGTTGCCAGCTCGCGCAGTCAGGTCCCATGATTGCAACGAGACCAAGGCTCGCCACGTTGTACGCCTCGTCTGCATTCGGAGCGCATACAGACACCTGGCAGTGAATTTGATTGCACCCTGAGCCTACGACAACCTGGCCGTAGAATAGGCAAAAGAAGAAGACAACGAGCCTAGCTACTGTCAGTCCAGTGGTGACGTGGAGCTGGGGATCGAGTTACTTACTGTTTGAAGGCCATTGTGAGTGACGACTATTGGCTCTCACGCCTGAGGTCGCTTTTACAAGGGAGATGCGGAAGTTCAGGTTCTGAAAGATATCTTAAAGCCGTTGTTTAGAAAGTCTGTGGTTTGTCTTCAAGTAGCACTCTTGCAGCCAGTCGACGAGGTAATAGAAAATGGGCGATGCTTTCGACTTGGAAAGCTAAGACTCCTGCTTATTGACACATCAGATATCGGAAAACCTGAAATGACGACAGTGCTGAAAGTTCCTTACAGACATGCAGTGTGATTCGCAAATGAGGATAGAACCGGGGGCCATTGGGGCCAGCCATGCCGACATTCCGTACTATAATGAGAGCAAAGGGCAGAAAATTTGCTGTTTGCCCATAATCTTTGTTATGTTGACCACTTACGGGCCCACGTGCTTGAAAATCCTCCTGCGATCATTTGCGGCAATGACTCAGTTCAGAAAACGTGCTGCGCGCCTGCTAGGTAAGGTAAATAACTCTGATATATTAAAAGCTTGTTCCGTCCCAAATCATATTTCCAAAAGATTGTCACTGACCTTCAAGCGATCAAAGTGTCACCATGGGAATCTCCAAGCCCTCCACAGGTTCGCCTGGCCCATTATTGTTCCTAGGCGACACCAATGCCGTGCAAGCCAGCTTACACGTGGGAGGATTTTCTGCCTACAATTATTGAAGCGCCTTGGTACTTCACGACTCAGAGTTGGTCGAGCCCTTTTGCGGAACCACAAAGGGGTTAATCAACTCTTGTCATAAGCAAGTCTATTACTATCTAAACACTCCAGGAACGCAACAAGAACTTATGGTATCACAGCATCGCCACATTCACTACCACATCAAACAATACGATGCGCAACTTAGCCTTCCTTCTTCTGGCGTCCAACGCCCATGCCATCCCTACCGCTCTTTGGACGCGTACTGATAAATGGGAGCAAACTACATGCTCCGACGCCAATGTCACCGATGCAAAGGTTCTGGCTAATGTCCGGTGGGCATCAGCTGACACGAATACTTCGTGGAAAGAAGCTGTTGCTGCATGGCAAGCCTACAAACCAGGAACAACTTCAGCCCAGCTCAAGTTTCCAGCATTTATCAGCGATTTTTACGGCGGACCGGAGGGTTGGGATTGCCAAGATCCTGTCAGCACACCATGTTCAACTACGGTTCAGTGTGCCGATACAAAGCACCCAGCAGGGTAAGTCCAGTCTGCGTCAATCCGAACTGGAAGTCTTCCTGAGAAGGTTCTGACCTGATAATGTACACAGATTCCTTCTCCTCAACTCTTTCTCCAAACTACACGATGTAAGACGCACCCAAAATTCCAATCTTGAACGATCTAGTCGGCTTACACGTTGACGGCAAGGTGTACCAAAAATACCACGAGGCACTTCAAGATGCGCAGTTGAGCATATCTGCCGCCATGGGAGATTTCACATCTACATTCGCACCTCAGCTGAAGGCAGATGATCAGTCGACTCTCATTAAGACTATACTGGATGTGATGGCATTTGGCATCGGCATGGCATCAGCCGGCTTGTGGAATATCGGTATGCCTAGCTGAACTCTTGTTGTGAAGAGTGAGCTAATATGATCTATCAAAGTCATCAAGGATGCCGCGATATTTGCGGGCAACAATTTCGGGTTCGCTAAAGACACGTTCAACAGCGCCATATCCGCCTCATTTGCTCTGGGAAAAGACAACACGAAATCGTAAGTTCTGTGTCATGCGGACTTTCCAAGGACAGTAAACTAATTGTCGCGGAATAGTGCCAAAGACTCTGCGAGCGTGCAAAATGATTTGACCTCTGCGATGGGCGCATTGTTCGACGTATGGAAGAAGACGCAAGAGGACTATTTGTCCGAGATCTTCTCCGGGTCGAATAGCACCACCATAGGCATGCTTGAGTCTTTTATCAGAGACGGCATGATGAACACGCTGCCGGTCGACATTAATCTCTCCGGCATGGTTAACGTGGTCGAGACCATCATGTTCGGACAGATGATTCCCATTGCGTGGCAAGTAGCGCCTGCTGCTTACACGCCTTTTGTGCTGTAAGTTGATCTTCCACCAAGGCATTGTTTGCCGCATCGCTGTTTCCGCACAGGTCGAACGAAAAGCATGGCTAACAGACATTGACCTATAGAAAAACCGGTGACGCGTGTTCCAACACCATGCCCAACACTCTGAACCCCTACATGACGCAAGAAACACATGATAAGGCTGGTGTATGCTGGAACGGCAATCAGTTCTACGTTTTGACCGTCGGTACCTACCGAGTCGACGTGCAAGCCGATACGCCTGGTCTCCCAGACTCTGACCCGCCCTTCCAGCTGATGGCGGGTGCCACCCACGACGTGCTCGACGGCAAGAATTGGGGTGGTATTACCTTGGAAGATATTGTCATCAGCTCATACGGCGGCTATTTGAACAACGGGAATCGAAATGGCTACACCGTCTCCCTGGACGATAGTGCCGGAGGCGTGGATCAGCTTATGTGGACCGGGGGCGTCCAGACACCCGGTTTCTTTTCCCTCCCTGTATGCACGAGTCTGTGGAATACACTGATGAACATTGCTGGAAGTCAGGTTGGGAAGGACAACTACCCATGCGGGGTGGTAGTCGAGAAGACGTACCCAGCTACATAATTAAAGTTGCAGGCAGGTGTCGCGCACTCTACATTATCATAATACTGTTTGGTATATAGTTCTTGTGTTAGGTACACAACTGTAAATAAGAAGGATTGTTGCGAAATGTATCCGGGCCTTTCATGCCGTAAACTGCTGGATGAAATCAATACATCCGTACCCAGCCTATCTCAAATTTCCGCTCTATTGAGAAACCGTTCACAGATGGATATACACGGCAATAGACCTAGTCTCTAGTCATTATGTGATTACGTCTATGACAATGACAAGTCTTCAAATGCCAGCGACCAAACTATTCAAATTATTCTCTATCCAGATAAAAACACATCGTATTATAGTCTTAGGACATCGTATTGCGAGATTTAACAGTACCTTGTTACAGTCTTTGCCACTCTTAACTATAATAGCCAAAGTTCCGCCAAGTATTGTGTCCCAAGTTTTATACATCTAGTGAGAGTCCACCAATCATCATCTCTCAGGGTGATATTCTATCCCCTCCAATCAAAAAGCTTTGTACAGGAAATCTTGCAACAGAACGTGACCCATTCGCGCTTACAAGTAGCCAGCCATGCCACCACAAATGTCAACAGACTCGTAGTTGAGGCCAAAGTTAACCGTCTCAGGGATGATTCGATAGTAAAAGTTGGCAGTGTGGTCAGTCTTGACGAACCCAATGAGATCGTGAAGGCTGCAGCAGCTGGCGCGGGTGTTCCAGTAGGTAGCAAGACGCTGGGAAATCTCAATTTGATGAGCGCGAGTGAGCTTGGATTGGAGACGGGTGGTGTAAGCGATCTTGAAGCCAGGGGCAGATGCACGCTTCTCCATGCGCTTGGCGATGGGCTCCTGCTCCTCATCGAAGGGAAGGTAGATGTGACCCTCGCCGTCGCCAAAGTCGTAGACGTCCAGATTCAGAGTGGTGTTGAGGAAGTTGAGACCGTGGACGCTGGCGACAGACTGAGGGGTACGCTCGTCAGAGTCATAGCGAGCGAGCAGGTGGGGGGTAGCGTCGGTGATTGACTGGAAGGTAGAGCCATCGGCGGCAAGCTCCCGGGTGAGGAAGTCGACGAGGGACTCAGTGCTGCCATCACGGGCGGAGATGGCACCGGATCTCTGCAGGATCAGGAAGATGCTTGCAACACCGGCGGCGATGGCGCTGGCAAGAGTGTCGCATTCACGCCCGTTGATACGTCTGCAAACGTACAGGGCAGTGAGGCCACCGGTGGTGGCATACACGGCGACCTCGCTGCTGGTGCCAATCTGCTCAATGACAGTTGAGAGAGTCGAGCACTCTGCACGGGCAGTCAGAGGAGAGACAGGACTCATGCCCACTTCACGAACCTCCAGAGCTGTGACATCGCTGACCACAGGATGAGCGATGGCGCTGCCCAGCAGAGATGCGAGAATTGGGAGAAAGAACATTCTGAAGTGATAAGATTGGAAGATAAAGGGATGATTTGAAAGCCTTGGCTTGGTAGAGTCTGTCTGAGTTGAGATTGTGACTCTTGGAGTAGGTAGGTCATTTCTTTTATAACTTTTTGATCAATTCGTAGCAATACCAAAGTTCCGCCCGCATCGTATCAGCTCACAATATCAGCATCGAGACAATCCTCCTCAGGTCTTGAGGTGCAAGTCCCACACTTCCAGGCAGTCACAGAAGATAACCTGCATGCTTACTAGTAACGGATAGTCCTGCAAGGGGCAGTTGAAGTTCTAGTTGCTCAAAGTCAGGAGATGATCCATGTTTCCCCGCCGAAAAGTAGTCGGGTGCTGCCGACTAGCCGCTGACCACATAGAGACCCGGTTTAACGTTGAATTGGCACACTTGACCATTCCAGAAAAATTGCCGATTTGCCGTACACAATACAACACCATGCTGACAGGTACAAGAATGAGTAATTCTCATAGCAAGATCTGGGAAGTTCTTTGAGAATGGCAAGCCTGCTTTCGGGCCCCGGGGACTCCTATGGCGATTAGAGAGTGCCGGAACCATGAAATTCGAGAAAGTCTTCGAGATGAGATCACTGCAGGTATCCCTGAGAACGCTCACGGTAGGATGTTAGATACATTGGTTAGACATGAATGCTTTGGTACGCTCCAACCGGCTCCATGCACCCAATAAGCCCTTGTCTTATGGAAAGAACCGATTCAAGCTTATGATTTGGTTTCAAAGTCCATCGGGCTCTGAAGGGTGCCAATACGTTCCATCGCGGCACCAACACCGTCCACCAATACCAAAGCCATCTCGGCCATTGATCGTACTTCAATCTGTCTCAGCCGATGGATGAGCTCCATGGTTTTACAGCTACCTTCTCAGCCTTTCTTCAGGGATTCGTCCAGTTCCAAACTCGAGTCCTGCAATGACCACAAAAAGAGGACAAAACAAGTGAACAGCTGACCAGCCCACAGAAACAATAGCCGTTGCTTGTCTGCTAAGTCTAGACCTTCGCGGTTACCTCGGATAAACAAGACCATCGACTCTACAAACCCAAGAAAGACCCATCCGACTAGCGATGAATCAGTCTGGTTGATACAATGAGTGTTGCGAGTCGCGAGTGCACTAACTGATTTTCTTGAATCGCACGCCAGTTGTGCAGGCAACGTAGAGCAGGTAGAGCGTTGTGATGAGGCTTGTTAGAAAAAGCCCTGCTACACTATCAGTTGCCAGTCTTTGCTATACGCATCAAACAACTTCTGACAGGTTTGGACTCACAATCGTCAGCTTCAGTTCGAGCGGCCCACTCAAGATAGCGCCAAAATAGGCGCATGCCTACCATCGTGTGCAGGTACCGTAGGGATCTCTCCGCCGAAGGGAGTTTGCAGCCCTAAGGAAGTATCACTGCAGTTGATACCGAGAACCCCCGGACACTAAGTATTAAAAAGTCTGACTGAGCTTCTTTCGATCGATGTACGCTGATCCTTCGGGCGAGTGCCCCGTTGCGGCATGAACCTGCCCCGCATGCCGATTAGCCGGGTGTGAGATCAGGTCCCGTTTTCTCAATATGACCGGAAGGATTTAAACCTGACAGGGACTTTCGACGCATTCCTTCCCGGTGGGCCAATACGAGACCCTCGATAATCCTGGCAGAGAATTCGACTCTAATCATCTAGCCTCATAGACTGCGGAGCTCTTCCTTACTATCAACATGGTAAAGCCAGATTCAGCTACAGAGCTTCGAAGCTTTTTCGATTAACAACAACCTGTTCATTTTCCTAGATATTGAGTAGGCCAAGCTCGAAACTAATGTCACCGCCTAGCTTTGTGGAGCGAAAACGACGTTATTTGAGGTCGTGGACACCATGAACCTAGCGGATAACATGTCGGACTGCCTAGGGTCATTCGGATCACGGCTCGTGCCTTTCCATAATATGCTTACATTGACCCACTACATCTGTGGGCACCCCATCTACTTTAGCCTCGTAGGGCCTCAGCGATGGATCCTCGGAGGGACTTTGGTGTTAGAGCCCGATTGCTTATTTGAAGATTTCCGTATCTGGAAGGCGGTTGTCATGAATTCGGTTGCCTAGCATCGGCGTGGGCCGAAAACGCGAAATCGTGAATCAGTTCTCTCAACCAGATTGCTACGCATGAACGTGCGGACATGAGCTTTTTGCGCAGGTGCCTGCAGATGCCCTCAGACAATGTGATGGGAGCACTCTGCTCAACCAGAAAAATACGACGGCTTGCCTGTGAATGCTATTACACAGTCATTGCTATCGTACTTTATCTCCGTAGTCACACCCTGTCTAGACGAAATACAAGCTTTCAGCTTCACGTGCCATGGCGAGAAAGTCTAAGTGTTCAGCGGTTGAGATATAAGACGAGCCCAACCAGACGCCTGAACATCAAATTTGACGCTCGAAGAAGGAACAGGTCGACAACATCGGCGACATGTGCAAACATGCAGCCACTGGTGAGTGACACGGATAACGATTTATGAGGTAAGTACTGTATGTAAGAGGGAACATGATGACCAGCAAGTAAAAGCTGGAAGCTTGCATGTAGCTTTGACTGTAACTACATGTAGATAAGTATGAGTATGGCCCGCACGGTGTCACGTGTGGTACCCAACCCGTTGGCCGGTGACAAAGTCTGCATCCACACCGAATCCGAAGAAAACAGTTTAGCCAGGCCCGCCTTCTACGAGAGGAACTCTTGACGAAGAACAAGAAGATGTCGCTCTCGGCAGGTACATATACCACAAATTTCAGCACCTAGATGCCCGAAGCTTCTTAGAGTGGTAGGTAGTCACATACACATCACTGATCGTGCGTAGATCAAGTCTACTTAAGTGACGATGAGAATTATTCCCGTCGGCGTTCTGGGATTGAAGTCCGTGGTAGTAGTAGTCTATCTCAGGCAAACTAAACTTTTGGTATAATAAAGTATGCTACGCTTTTAAAAGGATAATTTCTGTTCACAGATACGAAGCGTCAACCCACCACTCCTTCTTGAATCCCTCGCCGAGAAGTTCGACATCCTGAACAGCCTTGGTAAGCGTGGAGCTGAAGTTAGCCCTAACACCTGCCGCACCGGGACCCGTGTTCTCAAACTCCTTGAAGTAGACATTGGCCGTGCTCTGCGTCTTGTCCCAGATAGACCAGCCAATCGGCGCAACGACATCGCTCATCTCGCTGTGCTGGAAGACGACGCGGGAGAACGGTCTCCACGGACGACCGAGGGTGACGGAGGCAGTTCCGCTGGTGCCAGTGATGTTGGCCTTGTTGAAGACGTAGAAAGAAGTGTTGTTGGCTGCATCGCGACCGTTGGCGGTGATATAGCCTTTTCCGATGGTCTGAATGTCGCACTTCTCGAACCAGGCTGCGGCGCGCAGACCAAAGATGAAGTCGACGGCGCCGTTGATGAGGGTCTTTGCGTAGATCTGTCTACCCTCGTTGGCGTAGACGGTGTCCTGGTATCCGGTAATCTTGCAAGCATAGAAGCCGAGGTTGGTCTTCTGTGCGCTGACAGCCAGCGCCATGCCATTCTTGTCGGCCTGGCCAAAAGTGTTGGCAATGTTGAGGTTGTAAATCTTGATGTTATCTCCCCAGAGGCGGAGAGTGGCGGTCTGGTCGTTGCTAGTGAGGTTGGCCATGGTGCGGGAGAGGTTGTTTGTGAGGGTGGCCTGATTATCGGCGTAGTCGCGGGAGTCGCAAGTGTATCCTTGGATGACGAGGTTGCCGAGGTAGTTGGGGATGCGGACCTGCTCGGTGTAGGTGCCGGGCATGATGAAGATGCTCTGATCGTCGGTGACGTTCTTCAGTGCGGCGACGGCGCTGTTAAGCGTGGGGTAGCTGTTAGGTTGCTTGCCGGAAGCATCGACGACCAGCGAGTTGGAAGAAGGGCGAGTTCTGGCGAACTTGCCATCGCAGTTCTTTCCACCGAGGCCGACGTCGAGGGAAACCTCAGCCGGAGCTGCGACGACTGCCACGGCGAATGTAAGAAGTTGGAGAAACGCAACCATCATGAATGAGTGTATAGAAGAAGGTAAAGACAGAATAGAGTGGGCAGCGACGCTGTAACCTCAAAACATGGGGAAAGCCGCAGTGTATTTATTCACCAAGTAACTCTGGAAAACCCAGAACCGAAGCTCTGGAACAAATACCTTTTCCCTGGTCTGCTGGTCTTTCCAAAGACCTCGTCCTTGCGCTCTAGTCGATTGCGTTCATCTGAAGGCCTTCGATAGGGTTACATCCAATTACACCAGCGGGACCACGGCACTTGGTGCAGGGAAGGGCTTGCATGCGGAGTGCAGGACGGAGACTTCAGATCGAACATTCCTCCAATGGCGTCTCCCATGTCACTCGAAAGCTGCCAAGCACCCTTATTTAGTTTCCTTTCCTCCCGGGGCTCGTTGCGGCTCTTGGCTAACTAATCCTGAGGGGATCACGAGTCAAGCTTTAGGAGGTGGCCAAGCTCCAAAATTATTTCTTTATTGGTGGACGTCCGCGGGTAAACGCTCTAGTGTTGCGCCACGTTTTCGAGATTTACCGCCTCGCTTCGAGTCTTTGACGGTGAACAGCAACAAACAAGATGCCAGTTTTGTTTTTTCTCCCTCGTGTTGCTCACGGCGCAGTTATTGAGACTAGGCCCAAGGTGCATTGCTCTGCAGCTCGATTCAATGCTCGCAAACAGAAACCTCTCAGCAAGGTTTTTGCTATTTAAACGTTGGGCAGGTTTTCTCCAAGCTCGGTTTACCCTGCGGAAGGCGTGTGGTGCGGCCGCCCGCCGCGCAGATTCTCGGAAATGCGCAGTCGAACCAGTTTGCAAAGTTTATTTGATTATCACTTCCAAGGACTGGCACTGTTTTCTAATTCTTTCAGGGATAGCATCACCAACATTGTTCAAAGATGCCTTGGCGGACAGACCGGCAGCCGGTGGATACTATCTGAAACTCCCCTCAATTTGCACAAACAGATCGACATGGAGTTGACTCGATTATAGTACTCACGGCCTTTGAGTTTGCGTCGTAGTTTACCTGATCAGCCCCTGAGAATAAACAACCTGGGCTGCGTTGTCAACCGCCGCTTGAGCGAAAATTGATTACCTGAACAGCAAAGACAAAGAAATGGCAATTTCCAATCGCAAACTCTATGAGAGGCGGTCAATGGAGACCAACTACGAGCGTCTAGCTCTTGCCCGACAAGCATTCAATATACGCGGGCTTTGTACTTTTCGTATTGAGACTCTGATCTAGCCAACGACTCTAGCCTGCAGCATGCAATTAAATCTCCTTTTGGTAATCCCTTCCCCGGGCCCGACGCGCCGGGGGTTATCGCCAGTTCCCATCCGGGGCCGCTGTAACCCTATCTCCCCGTCCCCAAACCATGCCACGTAACAGTTAATATGTGTCGGTATTCTGGGTGCCGTGACTGACCACTTGACGGAACTACGGCCTGGCAGGCGATCCGGACAACGGCTCAAACTCGTTTGTCCCAGCCCGTTGGACACTCGGCAACGGGAACACTACACTAATGGGAGACACCATTCTCCCAGGCCGCCTTCTCCTCGCCATTCTCCGCCGCGATCTTGACCTATTCACATCCCACGATACTCGTGACCCGAGCTCACTCTCCGCGAAGCCGACATCGCTCAGGTTATCCAATTCCTCCAGCTCTCGCTCCACCCCGGGCGGCGGCTCCACCTTGAAAACGGCCTGAATGTCTCCGTGCGGGTTGAATCCACTGAAGCCCCAGTTCAGCAAAGACTGCGACCGTGCGCGACGGGGGTGAGCGAGGCGGCGGCGTTCCAGAGCGCTAATGATGAGGAGCGCTGGCGCGTTCAATATTCGGATGACAGAGATGTTGAGATCATGGAACGACCGCGGGCTGAGAACAGACTTAAGCGGGAGGAGAATCGCGATGGCCATCAAGTTGAACGGTGGGGGGTAAGCAAAGATTGAGTCGCTTTTCACACCGGCGAAGGTGAGTACAGCTCGTCGAAATTGGATCTCCGCAGGCGCGTCAGCGATGAGCTTTGAGAAGGTATTACTCAACAGCGCGACCAGGATCGTGAGGAAGAGGATATTGCCAAGAAATGCAAATGCAATCATCAGAGCTGGCCCCAGAATGGGGTGGAACTCATCAGAGCGGTCAATTCCAGTGCCATCCAAGCCAAACCACGTCCAGATGAGCCACTTGCAGGTATCGTACCAGTTTAAGGCAGGTTGACCGCTTCCGCTGGTCGCCGTTTCGTTGCTACCGATCAGCCATTGCAGGGACAGGAAGAAACCCATGAAGCACCATATTGAGATGAAGGTTAGGCGGGTGAAATCCTTCATCATGGCGTGCATGGCGATGAAAACAATATTGTCCGGCATGATCGTAAAGGCCACGCGGGTAAGTAGTACAGGAGCTGCCAAGCAGAGAATATGCACCCCGTAGCCGTCAGCGATGACGCCACCATACGCCAAGACGTCATACAACCGAGCGAAGATGTAGCAGCTGAATATGAAGCTGAACGTGATATCAAGAAAAGACCACAGAGTCTGTGAGTGGACTGCCCAGCCATGCTCAATGATTGCCGCGAACTCGTTAAGAGTCCACCCGGCCGTGTAGACGGCAAACAGACATTCCCATCCACTGATCGTAGGGCTACTCCGGTATACCATTGTCAAGAGATACAGGCCGACGAGAGTGACGAACTGGAATAGCTCAGTCACCTGTCTGATCCACGGTACGATGAGACGTCTATCGTCTAGTAACGGTGCCCTATGTGGCTCGTATAGCGAAACCGAGGCATACTCGTAATGATCCGGGAGGATGTCGACAAACGACAGGGGGGTATAAGTGACGACCCCTTGCCAAACCGCGTCGACGAGCCTTTGGCAGGCTGAAGAACTCAGGAAGAGTTTGCTTTCGGAAATGATGGCCAGTTCCAAAGTCGTGAGCTTTCTCTCATGGCCGTCTCGGCGCTGAATAGGCCACTGGGCTTGCCTGCATTCGCTCTCAACTTCCTCGGGAGCACCTTGGAATGGGTCGAACCCTTCGACGAGGATATGTGCCAGGATGAGTAAGCCTATCTGGCCTGGGTGGTCTTCGTGATATCGACGTAGTACTCGACTTGCGACGAGTTCGCAGAGAGTCGCACGCGCAACATTAACAGTATGATGAGCGGTGCTAATGTGTTGTCTGAGAAACTGAATCCGATTGGCGAGGAGGCAGTACACTTTTACGGATCAGCTCTGCCGTCTTGGCTAGATCAAAGTTTACAAGCAATAAACATACCGACAGTTGGATCGTCGGGATCGTATAGGCGATCTACCAGAGGTCGGACAACCAATGAGTTCATCCTAGGCTCACGGAGCTGATCTAGGGTGTAGGGGTCATCTGGGATTATTGTTAGTGGAAATCGGCAATTGAGATAACGGCTACTCATACCAATGCTTGCAAGTACAAGTCGCCTGATTCTGTTTTTTTTTTCTCCATCAGCTACGGGTATTCCGATATGGGGGCAGCAAAAACCCTCAAACTTACCGGTGTATCGTAAAATACACGGAGGGCGGCACCTCAGTGCTCACGCTCACGCTGGCGGTGGCGCTGACAGAGACATGCTGCTCTGCCTCTAAATCGGGCTCGTCGTTGGCGTTGGCGGCACGCGTCATCGAATTTCCATCACCCCATGGTGACAGTGGTCGAGTCCAGTCAATCAAATCCGGGGTTCGGGGGGCCTCTCCTTCTTCCATCTGACGTTGGGGGAGTTGTAATGATGAGAGAACGTCTTGTTTACAGTGCTCAGTCACACTAAGGTCGTCCGGGACACCCTCTTCGTTATGTTTCCTGTTTGCCCAGCCACCCACAATCCTAGCCGATGCAGCTCCCCGCGTTGGTCCCAAGCTGTCGTGTTAAAGATCAGTGGTCTGCATGTTGTCGACCTGTTCAAAGAAGAATGTGAAAATGTCGCATGCAATTATGCGCTCGGGCTGCCTCCCAGTGAGGGGTTTATCTACACATGTCCCCTGACTCGATCTGACTTAACACTAACGCGATCCGATCAGCAGCTTGCACTGCCACGCTCGTGCCGCCTGACGTAAATGGGATAAACGCCGCGGCATTTCTGGTTGACCGACAACTCTAAATTTCTTCACCGAGGTGAGGCGCTTTAAGCTTAGATAACCCGGATGAGATGAGATCAGATGTCTCACCACGTGCTCACCCTCAACAACACCCATCTTTCCAGCAAGCCACACACGGCTAGATAGGTGATTCTTCAACATTACGCATGGACTTTCATACACAGGCCGTTGGCACACGATCGTAAGGCACATAATGAGCTCCTAGTCCTCAAGGGTCACGACGAGCTCTTACATTACAAGACCAAAAAGGTGACCTGCAACCTCTTCAGGCCGTAGCGCAAAAGGTATTTGAAAGGGACGAGACTCGAACTCGCGCGGGTTGCCCCACCAGGAAACAGATGTTAAGCTGACCTTAACCTGGCGCCATAACCAACTCGGCCACCCTTCCATGATTTCATGGTCGAAGAATCTGTGATTGTTGAGGTTGACGGCGAAAATCTGTGAATATGGAGCTTGAGGTATCAGGGCAAGCCCTCAGATATGCTGATTTGACGATGCTCGTGGAAGCGGAGATGGGTTTGCTGTTACCCTGTCCCTAGCCCGTAGTGCTGTGGATACTTACCTACTCAGTAAAACTACTGGTTAGCCCCCAAAGGTACTCCGCAACAAGATACGTCTAGCTAATCGCTTGAAGTCTATATCAGTACAGCTCACTACTCACTTGTTCTTTTGAGAAGCCTTGACTGGGGCTACAGTTGGTGTTTTGCATCACTGAGATCTACATGTCGGGTGTGGATCAGACGCCCTACGTTGGGTGTTAAGGATGCAAATCATGTAATAGTCACGGACATTTAAGGCCGTGCCTATTTCCCGCCTGCTCATTATAGCTTTACGCTTGATGTTCACCTATGAAAAGCTTCCAAAAGTGACTTGGACCGTTCTGTCAATGGCAGTTGGTAGAGTACAAGAGTGACTTCATTTTACAGCAAAGGCTCAGACAGCGTTGACTTTGGCACGGCTTGAGGGCATCATGCGCCAAATCAGACAGTAACGATAGGTGACTCTTCCTAGAGTCACCGAAGACTACGTTTGACGATGTTGCCTATTTTACTTTAAAAGAAAAACACAAAGCATTTGAAGAGTGGCTGAAAAAATCGAATAAAACCCCAAGCTGCAGGTGTGCAAGTTCTGCATGTAGAATTGCAAGTATTAGTTTACCAACAAAGTACCCAGTGTAACCTTGCCCAAAGCTCATGGAAAGACATGGGATCAGACCTCATTGATTTGAATTATTTCATTTGTCCAAGCCTCGGCGCCTGCAGCTTGTTTTTTGAGTGAGGGCCGTTGCCTCGATATTCATGTAATCACGGATTTGAACTGAATCACTGAAAGGAACCTCTACGCTCAAGTGCCCTCATCTCGTTGAAGACCACCATTCGTAGGAAAGATGCTATTAATTCCCGAGTAGCTCATTGAGCCAATTGGCTGCCATCGAAAAAGGGTATTGGTGACTAATATCATGAGATAAGATAAGTGAGTGATCGGCAATAAGGGTACAAGTAGGCAATGGACGTAGTATCATCCTTCGGGTAGTAGTAGGACGTATCGGCTAACGATGCCGGAGTTGTTGGTTGCAGCCCGAACATCCGAATTTGATAAGATACATATTGCTGCACGCTCAAGATAAGATATGGCTGATATGCAACTTTCCCCGATGCATGCTCCAATCACAAGGATGCCCCCATTGAGCTGCAGGGTGCATAATCACCCCCATTCTCGGCGCAAGAGTGGGTGAAGATGAGCACCTTATATCAAGCCTTCAAGGAAGCAATTTGGAGGACATAACAGTTGGTGTTTGGTCTTGCCAGACGTATTGCGCACACCCGAAGGTGGCAGGGGCACTATCGCACTTCAGAAACACATTAAGCTTACCGTCCAATATCGACAACAATGGCGACCGAAAGCAAAACACCAGCCAAATCTGACGAGGACCTTAAGCGCGAAACCTCTGATGACGTCGAGGCCTCTTCACTGCATTGCCCCCAAAATGGCAGCAGCGTGGTGGTTGACCCTGAAGGGGAGCGATCTTATGGTAAGCTCTTGTCAAGAACATCATCGTCTGGGTTGACGCTGACATTATGCCGCTTTCAGTGAGAAAGCTTGACTTCTATCTGTTACCGTATCTCTCTCTTATGTACTTCTTCAATGCGGTCGACCGCTCCAACTTGGGCAACGCCAAAACTGACGGAATCGAGAAAGACCTCAACTTCAAAGGGAACGAGTACAGTCTGCTCATTCTTCTCTTCTACATCCCTTTCGGAACCTTGGATCTTCCACTCAATCTCCTCACAAAGAAGTTCTCTGCAAGATGGGTCTTACCGACGCTGATGGTGGTCTGGGGCGGCATCGCAACCGTCCAAATCGCATCGAAGAACTTCGCTGGGATCCTGGTACTCCGACTGATTCTCGGGGCATGCGAAGCCGGCTTCTTCGCCGGCGTAGTGTTCTACTTCACATTATTCTACAAGCGATCCGAGCTCGGCTTTCGCGTCGCCATCTTCTTCGGCAGCGCTCTCCTAGCCGCAGCCTTCAGCGGCTTCATTTCCTATGGTGTCTTCCAGATCGAAGGCACTAAACTCCAAGGCTGGCAATGGCTTATGCTCATTGAAGGCGTTCTGACCGTACTCGTCGGTGTCGTAGCCTTTTGGTGGCTGCCAGCTTCTCCAGCAACCGCCTGGTTTCTCAACGACAGAGAGAAGGCCGCAGCTCTAGCTAGGACCCTCCGCGATGGCTCCAATAAAGTGGACTCCAAGTTTGACTGGAAAGAGTGTTTTACGCTATGGAAGGATTGGAAATTTGTTTTCTGGCTTTCCATCGCGTTCAACTATCCCGTCGCCTTTGCCACGACGTCCAACTTTTTGCCCCAGATTGTACAGCGTCTCGGCTACAGCGTCGTCAAAACGAATCTCTGGACCGTTGCCCCAAACGCTGTTGGTTTTGTGGTACTTCTGGCAACAGCATACTCCTCCGACTACTTCCACGAACGGACGTTTCACATCGTCGGTGCCTTGGCAACCTCTTTAGTCGGCATGGTCATTCTCATCGCAATCGACGTTTTGGAAAACCGTGAACTGGCTTACTTTGCCTGCTTCCTCATGGCTGCAGGGGCGTATACACCTTCATGCCTGGTTCAATCATGGCACAATAACAACAATTTGAACGAGAACAGCCGCGCTGCCACGACAGGTTTGCTTGTAGGTCTGGGTAACTTTGCTGGAATCTTATCGGCTGCAACATTCCGGACCGAATATGCACCCAAGTACATTCCTACTCTCATTGTTACCTGCTGCTGCAACGTGTTGGCGATGGCATCGGCGTTGATCCTCGGCGGCTGGATGAAATTGGAGAACCGGCGAAGGAACAAGGCCCAGGGTGTCAACCTTCAAGCTCAGGATGTCGATACATCAGAGCTGCATGACGGCGAGAAATCGCCCAAATTTCGATTTTTCACTTGAAGTAGTCCTGCTGTAGACTTTTCATTACTAGCAGAGAAAGCCAACCTCAAATCATTGATCCTTCAATACTATTCACAATTGTAGACCGAGACCCATCTCCTTAAAGTCTGTCAATATTCTGATATCCCACACGTCAGGTGGATTGACATGGCAATTTGAGCTGATGAGGCCATCCAGACGTTGAACACAATCATGGGCATGAGCTCTTTACCACGTTCTGGAAAGTGATGGTCAGAGGATCATCATCCTACCTATCGGCAAAGATCCGATTAACTATTCCCCCAACGGACTTTAGCTAACGTGCGGGATTTCGCGAGTGGGGGAACATTAGCCAGCTGGGAAAATCCACTTGTAAGCCGCCGTAACGGATTACGACAAGGTCGCAAACCCCGGATTCATCCGGCTGGCCTATCGGGCCTGCATATCAAAACTGGAGACAGCCGGCCGACCAGATAGGAGAATGTAAGTTTATCGTGGATTTTGGGCTCGGTACAATGTGAGGTGCATTTATCTTTATGCTCTCTGGACAGGTCTTTGTCTTCAACATCATTCTCCTTATCTTCATCGTCATCCTATCAGCAATCATGGCCGTACTCAATATCGTCGAAGCCTCAATCGAAGAATTACAGAATGCTTTGAACAGCGGTTCAATTACCAGCGTCGAGCTTGTAACGCGTTTGCTTCGCCGGATCAGCACTTACGACTGTCGAGGTCCTACCCTAAATTCGATTCCGATCCTTAACAATGACCTTTTCGAACAAGCTGCCAAGTCTGATGATCGAAGGGCATCTGGCGAGAAAGTCAGGCCCCTGGAAGGGATACCTTATACGGTCAAAGACAGCTACAAAGTCAAAGGAATGGTAGCCGCTGCAGGATCTCCTGCTTTCGAACATCTAATTTCCAACGAAGACGCTTTTCTTGTGAAGCTCATTCAAGATGCTGGCGGGGTGCTCATTGGCCGGACAAACATGCCTGCAATGGCTTGCGGCGGCATGCAGAGGGGCATCTGGGGAAGGGCCGAGAATCCTTACAACCCAGACTATCTGGCTGCAGCATTTGCTTCAGGTTCATCCAACGGATCGGCTGTTTCTACAGCAGCATCGTTCGCAGCTTTTGGGCTTGGAGGCGAGACGGTATCATCTGGCAGATCGCCTGCTTCCAACAATGCCCTTATCGCTTACACTCCCTCGAGGACCTTTCTATCAAATCGCGGCAGTTGGCCTTTGTATCCAACATGCGACGTACCAGTGCCTCATACAAGAAGCATGAAGGATATGTTAACTCTTCTGGATGTTATTACTGCACCTGATCCAGTTGCCAAAGGCGATCTCTGGCGAGAGCAGAGAAACGTCCAGTTACCGCAATCTTGGGAGGACCGGCCTGAGAGCTTCAAAACCCTTGGCTCGTCAGACTCATTGTCTGGACTGGTTATTGCTGTGCCAGAAATCTTCCTTGGTGGACCGGTTCCCGAAGGAGCAAAGCCTATTCAGACGAGCCCGGCAGTTGTTGAATTGTGGAAGCAAGCACGAAAGGATCTTGAGTCACTTGGCGCGAAGATTGTCATGGTTTCCGACTTTCCGCCTTTGACAGCTTACGAAAATGATAACCTTCTGCCGGAGAGATGTCCGCGAAGGCCGGCGGACTGGCATGCTACTGAGAGAGGAGCATTGGTAGCACATGCTTGGAACAACTTCCTTCGAGACTTCAATGATTCAAAGCTCCCGGATATCTCTGCAGTGGACGCATCGAGGATCTATCCAGACAGTATGAGGACTGGGCCGGAACTACAACACTTCGAGAAGCCTAATGCGATTCAGTACCATCGGCTGGCCGAATACGCCAGCAAAGGGAGTATTTTTGATGTAGAAGGTCTGGATCAAGCTCTCAAAGCTTTAGAGGGCATGCGAAAGGTTCTTCTTGAGGACTGGCTCACGGAAGTCGGCTGCGATTGCGTTGTCTTTCCCGCTGCTGGCGATGTGGGACCTGCCAACGCAGACTCAGACTTTGAGGGGGCATCGCTGGCTTGGCAGAATGGCGTCCACTACAGCAACGGAAACAGAGCCATTCGACATCTCGGCATACCTACCGTCTCAGTTCCTATGGGCATCCTGAGAGACAAGCGTGTGCCCATGAACCTCACGTTCGCTGGCAGAGCTTATGATGATGTCCAACTTCTGAGATGGGCGAACGCTTTCGAAATAAGAACAAAACATCGCAGTCCTCCGCTACATACGCCATATCTTGAATCTAATCTTGTTCAACTTTTAAACAACAAGAAGAACAAATCGCCGAGGCCAAAGCTAATTATAAGCACGTTCACGACGGTGCCAGCATCTGATGACACTAACCCGCTGTTGGCTGATATTCTTGTCGAAGGATCCGTGACAATGAGTGCGCCAATGGAAGATTTGCCGGAAATTGAGATTACCATTGACGCACAAACACTTCATCCAAGTTGCATCGACATACAGAGACAGTCCCAGTCTGTAGAGGGACAGTTGGTATTCTCATTCAGGTTCAGAAAGAAAACTTCAAAGCCTCCCATAAAACAGGGTTCAGACATGACGCTGGCTCCAGTTGCTCGAGACAAGATTATGGTGGTGGTTTTAGCAAAGGCTCCAGCAAAGGGTAGCCCATCAGGCTGGATGGGGCTGATTTAGATGCACCTCCAGCAAATGCTCGCAGAATCGAGCGTGGCTAGATATGATGGATCTCACAGTTCTGACGATGCAGCAACCATGCACTGTTTTCAAATTAGTTTGCGTATTTAATCCAAGTGATGATTGAAAGGCGCTTGGTTTGGGGCCATATTGTTCTATTTAGGCAAAGCCCTAGCCCCAGTAAGGTAAGTAGATGAAATCTCTTTCCTACACAGTGATTGTTGCGCCGTGTACTTGACAGCACAATGATGAGTTTACACCTCAGCTTCTAAGACGTTTGTTGGATTAGAATAGAAGGCCATGTCAGAAGGGAAACACGATGAATTCTACAATGTTGAGATGCTTTGCGTCTACCGCCTACGGGTACGAACCCCTACGGGTACAGACCAATAGCCCTACCTCAGTGTCAATCATTTCTTACCAAACAAGCAGATTACCTTTCACCCTTTTTCCTCGTCATGATATACTTTCGATCGACGTGCTTCTCTGAAGCCGCTCTTCACTGACTTGCTGTATCTCCTAGACCGCGACTGCTCTCAGAATTTCAGCAAAGCGATCTGAAGATATTGGCGTCGGTTGAAACTTCTCTTGGCCATCTCTGACTAGCCTGTGCAGTTCTGCTTCAGAATACCATTCTTTCCTGTGCTTCTTGAGATTTAGATCTTCGGATGGCCAAGGTTGTGTGCCATCGCTGCCTATGTAGCCAACCAGCTGTGGTCGTCGGTTTGCTAGGGTTGAGGAGTTTGGATTGAAGTCATGTTCGCCAGTGGTGTACCCATGTGCTGTGCGAAACATTGTATCATTTACCTTGTACGACGTGGTCACATGCCATCTATCCGTTCTGTAAGCAGGCTTACCACTTGGCCGAAAGCCGGCTTTGGTTGTTTTGTGCAAATGAGACCTAAACCAAAGAAAGCAGTGATGAGCAAAGGTTTAAATCAGTGATAGACAATTCTGAAGTAAAAATGCACATACCTGATGAGAAGAGATCGCACTTGATTTTGATTCAAGAGTGCTGTCTTCCAGTCAGCTTTGAGTAAATCAAGAGGATGTTGACTATTCAAAAGACCCGGTTTGTTGATTTTCTAGATCACTTCAACATATCCCTTGGGAGGACTGATACCTGACATTGTGTTGGTTTTCTTTTAGTCTTAAATTTGTGGTGTTTGTAGCCTGGCTGCTGCAATTACCGTTGGTGGAGTGTCGATGTGCGTGATGCTCTATAATAAGAAAGTACTTGGAACTACGAGCAATAATTGAGACTTATAGTTATTCTTCAGTATCATCTGTATTCCGTAGAGTCTAAGAAAGGCTCTTCTAGGATAGTTAGGTAATCCTGAAATGCTAATAAAGATGATCGATCGGAATTAGAGACCACTAAGTTTCATATCCAAGAAGATGAAAGAAGGTCTCTGGCTTGCCGACAACGACTCTTTCTCACGCCTTCTGTATAGAATCTGTAGCTAAATTTTCATTGTTACATTTCAGATAATCACAAATGCAGTGCCTTTCAGTGAGGACGATGTTGTGGTAGATGTTTTGTATACATGTATTGATGATAACCCATTCACAAATCGGCCACCAGAAGTCGCATTCGTCCTTTTGTTTCGCTAATATCTTGAAACTTAGAGTGTCTTACTTTGATCGGTCTAACCACCCAGATTGAAAGCCACCTAATGCAGTCCGTTGGCCACAGTGCTTTGCCCTGCCTTATCTTTCTACGTGAGAGATTGCTCCTTGTTTCTATTTTCACACATTCACACCCGCGCTTTCAGTCCATTGTGCTAAAGATATAGAATAACGCAGGGGCCTTAGGCCTAGGGATATTAGCAGCAACAAACAGTCCGTCTTTGTGCCCGCTTTGACAGTATTATCACGCACATGTTTGAGGTCGGCACTCCTTGTCGTAGTCATTCTGTTGCCTTCGGTCACTTTACTTGGAATCTATGTCATAAACCCCAGGACACCCGTTTATGTTGTTCGCTTCAATCGCTTGCCAGTGTTCATCTTTTATGTCTACTTTACCCATTCTACCACTGAGAAAATATTCAATGACAAAATCACATTCTCCAAACTTTGACATCAAGCTTTTCGACATGGGGCTCATATGGGACCTCTTCCACCTCAATCGAGAATCTAAAACTGTAGTCATCAAGTACATCAAAGCCGTCGTAGCTGAGCAACAAAGTCAATCGTTGACCGAAGAACAACGAGACAATCTTTCGTATCAGTACTGGGACAATGAGGAGCCTGAAGAGCCGTACATGGCCTACGAAGAGAGTATGTTTCATCCTGTTCAACTTGGCGATCAGCTTGGAAATGGCAAGTACATTATTGTGAACAAACTTGGAGACGGCTCCTTCTCCACAGTGTGGCTTGCACATAGCACCAAGACAGGAAAGAAGGTTGCTGTGAAGATCTGTGCCTCGAAAAGTGAGAGTTCATCGACGGGTGACGAGATGAGAATCTCAAGGATGCTTCGAGACGACTCGTCCCATCCTGGCCATCGCGTCATAGGCTACTACAACGACATTTTTCTTCACCATGGGCCCAATGGTACCCACGAATGTCTTGTTAGCGAGCCAACACGTGCCACGATAGCGGAGAGCAAATTCAGAGGATTCGTATTCCCTACTGAGATTGCACGAGCTTTGGCGGCACAGCTGGTGCTCGGGGTTGCGTACATTCACTCAAAGCATATTGTGCATGGTGGTAAGTTCTCAGTTCCAATCTAACACGTCAAATACATATAAGGCTGACCATGAGGATATTGCTGAAGATCTCCACGGAGGGAATGTGATGCTAGCTATGCCGGCTGGCGAGTTCGCTTGCCTGACAGTGAAAGAAATCTACGAGAAATACGAGAAACCAATTATCTTGCCGATGGATCTTTGTGTGGAGGCTACCGATTTCCATGAAGAATACCCTCTGCCAAAGAACGCGCCCCCATACATGCTATGGAAGATGTTTCTCACGCAGGACTGCGACGACCTGGAACTGTCGGAAGCACGGGCACAGATCAAGGATTTTGGTGAATCATGGCAACCGGAGCTAGTGACGCGGTACGAACTCAACACGCCCGAGCCATATCGGGCCCCCGAATCGATGATCGCCAAGAAGCTGCAATTGCCCATCAGCTATCCCGCTGATGTCTGGGCACTGGGATGCTTTGTCTTCGAGCTTTACGGCAGGATGGACATCTTCGGGACATACTTTCCTGGTTACGATGGTGTCTTTGCCGCAATGGTCCATTGTATGGGCAAACCCCCGGCATCGTGGTGGGACGCCTGGGAAAAGCGCGAGAAGTACATTAACGATAATTGCAACTACGTCAGAAAGGGCAAGTCGGATCCGACACCTGCGGAGCCGGACACAATCAAACTACGAGTGCTGGAGCAGATCCCTGACCACAGAGCCATGGACAGATTTCCTGAAGAGAAGACTTTTGTGCCTGAGGAGGAGTTACAGGACCTGGCAGCGATGTTGATGCGGATCTTCCGTTGGGAGCCCGAAGACAGGGTGACAGCAGAAGAGCTAATCAGCGACCCATGGATGCAGAAATGGGGCATTCCGGCGAAGGAAGCCATGGAGGTGGCTTACGAGAAGAGGCGCAAGGAGCACGAGAAGCCCCCGTTCTTGTCGAAGTCGGTGGCCGTTGGTTTAGCGGTCGGCGCTTTTGACAGACTGGCCTACATTCTGTCTCTATTGTCTCCAACTTCTTGGTGGCGCAATCTGAAGTGGGCTTTGGGGGCATGAGACGCTCGGCTTGTGTTTATCTTCTGTGCCGTGTCTTGGCGAGAGGAAATTTGGCAAAAATGAAGGGAAACGGTTGGAGTGCTGGCGTTACCTGTGGGTACGGATCATTTGTAAATCGCGTTGAGATTGCACATGCCGATGCCATCCCATTGGCGTACTTGGTCACTAAAGATAGTGGAATACCTCTGCAACAAAACGGCGCCGCTGGCCGCTTGAAGACTTTTCAACTCAAACTCATTGTAGTCTGGAACCCACGACATATTGAATAGAAGTTTTCATCAATCAAATCAGCGACTTTGTGATTTGATCATTGTCATGGCAAGGCAAGCCTCGCGTTCAAGGGGAGTGCATTTCTAGTGCAATCTATTCGTGATTGGTGGCTTTGTTGGGGTTGAAGAGCCTAAGTATACGAAGCATGTTGCTCGAATTCGACCTCCTTGGTGAGCCGAGCGCGGAATTGCGCCGACGTGGCTCACATTAGACGCAATATGATCCGCGGTCTAGGAGCCGAGACGACCCGATCATCTCATACCCGCGAAGTTTCCTCAAACGCAAACCGAGGTCCCGGAAACGAGAGAATACCTCAAACCCCCACACTTCAGTGAAGCTACGGGAAGGCTGCATTCCTGGCGCGTGGCTTGAGGTTTGCGGGGTAATTTAATTAGTGGTAGAGCCAAGTGTCGAGGCGTGTCTTGTCAGGAACTTCTGTCAAAATGTGCACAAGCGATCCAAAACGCCACATTGCGAACTGTTGTTTTCGACGCAAAGTTGCTCTCAGCCAAACGCAGGTGTGTGGGGGAGAGCTCCGGGCATCCGGCGGCGTCCGCCTTTGGTTCCTAAGTCCGGTTGTCTCTGTCTCATCTGCATGACCCTACATCCACCTGCAGCATCCATCGGACCGAGAACATTCTAACCGGTCGTCGCAGTCGTACTCTGCTATTCAGTCCAACAGGCAACACATTCGAGTCAACCAGGAAGACGAATTGTGACTACGCAGCAGACAATATTACTCACACTTCCTGCATCGGCGGACGGAGTGGATCAGAACCAAGTCCGACCCGGAGCCGGGGTGGAGTTGTGAAGCTACGAATGAGAATTTACGGGGCAAATTTTTAAGATTTGATGATCCCAGAGTGAGCTCAAATTCAGTCTCGGGTAACTCCCGCGAAAGCCTTCCGGAGAATAAGAGCTTGCTTACGGATGCCGACTCTCCCAGGCATATGAGAGGTTCGCTTCGGATACGAGACGCCGTCTCTCGTTGATGGCCGTCAGTTGGTATTATTCAGCTTCCCACATGACGCCGATGCCCGTCCCGCGTGGCTCTAGCCCTCAAAAGGCTGCACAAACGTGCATACTATTGGGAAGCCGCTTGCTTGCTTCGCACCAAGAGGAAACGCGGGGTTCGGGTGGGAGGTTGGGGCGACAAGCAAGGAAGCCAAGCAGCCCCAGCAAAGCAGCAAGGGATGATCAATACCTATTGCAAACCCCCATCCCTGCTCGATGCTACCGCTGCCGGTCTACTCCAACCCGGGCCTAGACTCGCGTTGGTGCCGTCCTTTTCGAGGACAGTCTGTGGAGTCGGGAGGATCACCGACCCTGTCGTGAGTGTGAGTCGTCGCGCCGAGGTCGGGCGCAAGAAAGAAAAAAAGTAACTGAGTGAGTGACCTTGCTAGACAGAAACCGTCGTGGAGGAAAAAGAATGGGTGACGAAATATAAGCTGACGGCCACCCTGAGAGATCTTCGGCTCCTTCTGGTCTTTCGCTGTACCCTTAAAGTTTCTGTTTCTTCTGCTCTCTTGCCGGGTTTTGTATCCGCGAGGCCGTCCTTGTTGGTTGGAGAGTCCTACTTTCGTCAATCTTACCAACACCCCGGGGCCATTGAGCTCAATCGACCCCCAAGATGCAGTTCGACAAGGAGAACAAGGCCGCAAAGTCGCCGTCGCGCTCCCTTGACCATGCGACAGACCTGGATCGACCGGTCTATGGCGATGATGCCCCCATCGAATGCCCCCCTCACACGACAGAGGCGAAGCTCATCACCAAGATCGACTTCCGCGTCATCCCATTCCTGTGTGTCATGTACCTTCTGGCCTTCCTCGGTAAGCTCTCCCCTGCTCTCAAGCTGCCGCGACTCGACGGCAGCCATCGCCCGAAGCCTTTGCAATTGCCTGCATGCTGACCAGAAACGCAACGTACTAGATCGCGTAAATATCGCCAACGCCAATGTCTTCGGACTGTCAAAAGAGCTCGAGCTGGACGGTACACTGTACAACAACGCGCTCGTCGTCTTCTTCGTGCCATACATCCTCCTCGAGATCCCCTCCAACATCCTCCTGAAGAAGTTTAAGCCCCATGTCTGGCTCAGCATCAACATGTTTGGCTTCGGCCTTGTCACCATGCTCCAGGGCTTCGTACAGAACTATGCTGGCCTCTGCACGACGCGTTTCTTCCTCGGTGTCTTTGAGACGGGCATGTTTCCGGGAGGTATGCAACCATCAGCCGCCCTTTGACCGATGCCTTTCGTCCACGGAGCTAACCAATATCTCTTTTTTCCAGCGTTCTACCTCATCGGCATGTGGTACCGTCGCCACGAAGCTCAGCGCCGCTACTCCTTCTTCTTCAACAGCACCACTCTCGCCGGCGCATTCGGCGGTCTCCTTGCTGCAGCGATCGGAAAAATGAGCGGCGTCCGTGGCTACGCCGGCTGGCGCTGGATCTTTATTCTCGAAGGCCTCCTAACTGTCGTCGTCAGCGTCTTCTTCTTTTTCTGGCTGCCTGACTTCCCAGAGGACGTGAAGTGGCTCAGCGAAGACGAGAAGGCCTTTGTGTCGGCACGCTTGCGCGCGGACCAGGGCCGCTCTGCCGTTGAGCGCAAGATCACCTTCCGCGACGTCGGACGCATCTTCAAGGACTACAAGGTCATTGTCGGAGGCTTCATGTACTTTGGCCTTATCGTTCCGGCGTACGGGTATGCCTACTTCGCACCGGGTATCATCCAGACCTACGGATACGACAGTATCCAGACGCAGCTGCACAGCGTGCCACCCTGGGTTGTGGCTTTTGGCTTCTCGATGATCATTGCCTTCATCTCAGATAAGACGCGGCACCGATTTGGATTCGCAATCTTTGCTATTTGTGTGGCAATCGCTGGGTTCGCCATCTTGATTTCTGTTCACAACAACACGTCTGTGCAGTATGCGGCGCTGTTCCTTGTCGCAATGGGCGCGTACACCGCCATGCCAATGTAAGTCCAACCAACGCATTCTGCATCCTCTGTAGATGTGATTAGAACTGCGTGCTAACTTTAGCCTTCCAGTATTGTTTGTTGGTTCAACATGAACCTGGGTGGCCACCACCGACGTTCTATCGGCAGTGCTTGGCAGGTTGGTTTCGGCAACATCGGCGGTATCATTGCTGTGTTCGCTTTTCTGAAGAAGGATGCGCCAAAGTATATCCCTGGCTACAGCATCAGTATCGCTTTTGTTATCCTCAGCGGCCTTGCATGTTTGGTGTATGCGATTGGCTGCTGGTCTGCAAACAGGCACAGAGATCGCACCGCGGCGGAGTCATCGTTGACGGAAGACGAGAAGATGGAGCTCGGAGATATGTCTCCTGATTACAGATATTTGCTGTAGACATCTATCTCGAGATAAAGTAGGAGTTGCCTTGATGGTTGACCTGCATAATGAAAATAATTCCCTGCATAAATTACTTATGCTACCCCACCGTTTCGATGCATCAACATCCGGTCCTAACTAGGACCTACGTGTTACTGCTCACAACAGCCAGCACTCTTTTGTTAAATCATTTCGGGTACTGATAGGCCGCAACCTTAGAGCAAGCTCTCCAACTCCACGACCTTCGTCGCCTTCAATTCATCTTTGGGCCATGTTGTTGCAGTAGAGTTGAACTGTTGGCCCCTTCTAATTTTGATTTACATCGCATACGCATTCCCTTAAGCATTGTGCATGTCTATGCAAGGGTGGCTTTCCGATTTCCAACAGCTTTCAATCACCATCATCACCCCTCTCGAGGTGTTGAACACATGCGAAAGCAAGGAACAGTCGCAATCACCCAGTCACCAACATATGGGGCATTGTTGGACGTGATCCGCCCGATGGCACACATCCCATTGGACCATCAGGCGCTCTCCAAGGGGCCGTTTGCCGGGGCATTTATCAATTCAGGGGGGCTGCATGCGGCGTAACACTGTTGGTCCAACAAACATGCAGAGTTCCCGTTGGTTTTCGCTTCCGCGCCACGGCCGCCCGCTTTTTCGCGCCGGTCGCCTCAGATGGTCGTCAATCAAGAGTCTCATGCAAAAGGTGCTACTTCCTCCTGCGCAGACTTCAATGTCTGGTTTCCTCAGTATCAACCAGTACACAGAGTTGCCAATGTGTTGTGTGAGTCCACAACTCACCCCAAACCAGCACGATGCTCCCAGAAGCCCTTGTCAGCGTTTACAAGTCTTACAAGACGGACACGGACTTCATTACTACTTGGCTCGCGACCACAGCACGAGCGTACGGTTGTCCTGCAGAGCTCATCTCAGGGCTTCGAGACACAACAGACGACAAACCTGAGTCGGTGCCGGAAGATGACAAGCCAGCCAGTCAACGCAAGGGCAAGTCAACCAAAGAGGCATCAAAGTCATCGCAGAAGAAACCTCGCAAACGATACATCCTCGCCGTCAAGGATCTCCTACCGCTGGCTCAGTTCCTCGCAACATCACAGAAGCCAGCCATCACCCCTCCGGATAGTCTAACCGCCGCTCTTGACAGAGTGATCGATCTCAGGGCCAAGTTCAGCACTCAGCTGGTTGAGCATGGTGCCACGACCAACGCTCAAGACGACAGCACCCATTTCTACTTCCTCAGGGTCTTGTGTCAAGTACGCCACGTTTTGACAGCTCATCGAACTACTTCCCCAACCAACACAGCAGCCTCAACTGGCGATGCTGCCGAGAAGCCCCAGCCATCAGTCAACAAGTTTGAAGGACTATTTGTGTCTGAGCCGTCCGCGAAATTCATCAACGCCCCAGATGCACCTCTACCAACGAGACCACCAAAGTCGGAGACCGATGCCAATTTCGAGGCCGAGAGCGAGATGTCGAGCTGGGATGCTCAGTTCGTATGGCAGCTAGTTTGGAAAGACCTTTACGGAATGCGTCAGAGGGTCAGGTACATGTGGCAACAGTTCCGAGAAGGGCGCCACGAGCTCGTTTCCGTTGCATTGGCCACCAACACCGCCATCGACCTTGCCCGTAACATCGTCGAAGACGTCACGCCAGTACTTCAATCTCAGCCAGGGGGTCTGTTCGGGGTCATCTGTCTCTACAATGCCACGTTCACAACTACGAAAATCCGAAAATACTCGGAGGGTCTGCTTCGTTTCCCAGAGAAGCCAACAAAGGAGGAGATCGCGTACGTTGCGGGCGTCCTAGACTGCACCAACGCTTACAGCATGCTGCAGCAACTCCTTCCGAAAGATCAAGGCGCCATCAACCCACCATTAGTCACAAAAGGCAGTCCAAAGATCAGATTAGCAAGGACACATGGCGACTTTGTCATTGACCGGAACGCGGTCTCTGGTGTTCTTTACGATATGTACTTCATCATTCGTTACATCCCAGACTGGCCAGTGGACGATGGCGTCTTGCGAGGGTTCCGAGAAACGATGCGGACGAAGGAAATCCCCTTCTACTTTGCGTATGCAGTCCAACTTCTCATTGACATTCATGGAGTCATGGGACAGAACCTGCCATCCATTCGAGTTCAATTTATGCGAGGGATGTCGACACTGCAAGAGCTCATGACACAGGCGTGGTACATCCACCAGAGTACAAGAATGGACCCAAAGGCACTCAGATGCTTCCCGCTTCTCCAACGCACGGTAATGAGCATGTCCAAAATGACACGCGACCCCATTCTCGACGAGAAACAGCGGCTCAAGAAGCCTATCGCAGATCCCTCTCTGGAACGCTTGCGATTGATGAAGACTGACCCCGTCATGGCTGGTCTGGTTATGTATACCTTCCGAGCAGCAACATATCGAGTCGGAATCTGCCTTGCAAACGACACACTATCCGTCATGTCGACCATGCATCTCTATAATGCTTTGTACCAAGAAGGTCTGCTCAAGTCCAAGTGGTGGGACATCGAGCTCATTATGGAACTGGCCGGCAAGTCCCAGTTCTACGTGGGAAACCCTCCAAGCGACCCGACCGGATACATCAAGAGCTTTCTCATGCAAACCGGCCTGAAGAGCGTATACATGAGTCAGCTCAAGAGGTCAAAAACGCAGACGAAGCTGTACAAGGAGCTCAAGAACCGGAGACGTATTTCTGAAGGAGCGACTGTTTCTATGATGTTCTACGAGAGGTACTGCAATGAAAAGGGAGAGACTTCGACAGGAAACTTCACTGCTGAAGATATCGTACGCATCCTCGACCACTGCCCGGAGGGTTTGTGGTTTGATCACCCTCAAGAGGAACCCGAGAGTGAAAACCAGGACAAAGGCTCCAGGAAGTCGACGCAGAAACGGAAGAAGCCATCAAAGCCCGCCAAACCTAGCCTACCTCCCTATGATATCATCACCTCCCTGGGGGTTGGGCTCTTGGACGAAGCGGCAGAGTTTGGGTTTCCCTGGCTAGCCATGCATCGCAACGCATGGCACTTGATGCGGAAGATTCGAATGGCCAGCGAACGTACGTTCATGATGTTGGTGCCGGGCTACAGCATGTCCGAAGCCGGGCTGATGACGCTCACCACGTACATCCTGGATGTTTTGGTTCACTCGAGGCCTACTAACTCTCTGGGAAAACGGGTTACTGAGGAAGTGGCGGCTACGTTCAATCATTACCTCACCCATATCCCGAGAGATCACGGCTGGTCAGCTGGCGAGACGGTGTGGAGGGAGATGGAGATTGCCCTTGGCGTTGGACTCCATATGTACGAAAGGGTTGTCGGGAAAGTTACGCAAGCTGGTGAGTCTGAGGAAGCGCCACCGCCTGAAATAGTCACAGACACGGCTGTTCCAGTGTGTTGATGATTGTCTTTTTCGATTATCTCGCGTGGGAGCTACATGGGTAGATGTTTCTAGTCGAGTTTCGGGGTGCGACTTCAAATTGTAGGTTTCATTCCTTCTTGGCGGCAACTTTACGGTAGAGTTCTCCTTCTAATCTCACTGAAATTTGGTCCGAAATGACTGGCTTCTATCGAGAGTTGTACTTGTGTCCCTTCCTTTGTGTCAGGTGTCAAATGACCAACTTCATGATAATTCCATGATACACATGGGCATGACGAACCGGAACGACTAAACTTTGTGACATGAAAAGGCAACTGAAAGTTATCTATCCAAGTAAAAGTAGACGTCGTCGCGTTCTCACATGAGAGCTGCGTCGTACTTGTTCTGGGAGAATGTTGCCCCGCGCCCCACTACGTCATGAATTATCCCGCATTATCCAAATTCCTTCAACATCATCATGCTGGCTTGTCAACTTATCCCGCAATTTATCTCCGCATTCCGATCAGCACAATCATCACTCTACTGTCTTACTTCACTTCCCTAGCAGTTCAAATCTCACAATGTCTCTCACACCAGACCCCACAATACTGCAACGCTGCGTTGAGCTTGCAAGAGAAGCCCTCGAAGCCGGCGACGATCCCTTCGGCTCCGTGCTCGTGAGCGGAGATGGCAAAATCATTCGCGAAGACCGCAATCGTGTAAATACCGGCGAGAATGGAGACGGGAAACGGGATGGGACACTACACCCGGAATTTACCCTCGCGCGTTGGGCGCAACTCAACCTTAGCGCCGGGGAACGGGCCAAGGCTTCGGTGTACACTTCCGGCGAGCACTGCCCGATGTGCGCTGCGGCCCACGCCTGGGTCGGACTTGGACCCATTGTCTACGTGTCTTCGAGTGCGCAGTTTTCTGGTTGGCTCGAGGAATTTGGGTTGAAGGCGGGTGCCAAGGTCAAGCCACTTCCTATCAATGATGTTGCGCCGAGTATTGCGGTGCAGGGTCCCATTCCCGGCCTGGATGAGGAGGTCAAAGCCTTGCACAAGAGGAGGTTCCAAAAGTCATCGCAATGAGAACTAGGCCACTCGAGGCTCACAGGGTGGATAGTCGAGGCGCATGACACATCACGTAACGGAAATTATCACTCACGTGGCCGAAAGACGAGGAAGCCGTTTATCGATGAGGCAGTGTGAGTATCTCAGCGACTTATGAATGTTTCTTCAATTGAGACTCCGACTATATATATGTATGAGCTATCCACCACATGCACCTTAGGCTTCGGGTAATCGCAAGACTCGTGTTTGTCTGACTAAAGCGCCTTCATCACCAAGGTACCGTCCGCTCTCGTAACTGTGGTGAAGATTAGTGACTTAGTGATGTGAAAAGTGCTTAAAATCAGGAGACACGAACCTCCAATGAAGATTGCCAAGGGCGACATCACGACAGCCATCGAGGTACCGGATGACCTCCTGATCGACCTTCTCTCCGCAGATTGGCATCTTCGATAAAGCCAGATACCAATCGCGATAGCATTCATCGATCATGTCTCCGATCTCGTCAATAGCCCCCTGAGTAGAGTGCCCCTGAGATTTCAACAAAGCAATCAAGTTGTGCTGTACACCTTGTTCCTGCAAGGATCATTGTCAACAGTTGGTCGGATTTGAAATTGGCACCCGTCTTACCAAATCCTTGCGATATGATAAGATGTCATTGACACTATGTGAGAGTTAGCCAACAACCATCGCCTAACACCATGCCAACCTACAGAATGACTAGGTCGGCGGAAATACGTCTGCACTCTTGCAAGCTCTCGTGGTCTATGACATTTGAAGGCACATTAATGCCGTGGCAAAATCTGCAGATCGTGCGGTCAGCCTACGGTTCACTCATCTGTCCTTCGGGAAGACACTCACTCAACCAGTACATAAGATGGCTGACATCCGATAGTCCCTCTTCGGAAGCCCATGTACTCCTCGACAGTGAGAGCCATGGCGGACTTAGAGCTTTGAACTCCAACTTGACTCAGCAGGCCGGAGAAGTAGTATCTGATGCAAGCTTTATAACGCTCCTGCAACTCTATGATGGTCGTGTTAGCAAACTTAAGTTTTTGGCCTACATTCTGGAAAGCATAACAGTGTTGCAAAGTGTTCACTACCTTTCGTAGATCGCTGCATGTAGGAGCGCGACTGTCAGCAATGTACTATTGACAGAAATGGATGCTACAGTGCAACCATAGTAAAGTCGGAGGACAAACCTTTTTGAACCGATCCCAGACAGTTTGAAAGATATATCTAATTGGGTTGTCATGAAGCTGGACTGGGGCTTGGTTGTCTTCTAGCACCGCAAAAGTGGCATGCAGCTCCTCTACTGCCTTAATAGGGTCGTCTTTCAGATGGCCTTCATCAAACTCTGTCAAGAGTCAGCGGGCTCAGACGAAGTAATGTTGTCATGGTTTACTCACGGTCATCAAATGCAAAGACCTTGCAATTACATTAGCTCAATTTTAGCCAACAAAATGATCACTGATTGGAGTGTGACGTACCCAATTGTTCCAATCGATCATCGTTCGATATGCGTCTTCATCAGCGTAGGGGACCCACATCGCATTCATGAACGCGAAGTTAGCTTGAACGTTTCTTCGGGCTTGAGCTTCACTGAGACTAAGGATCCTGTGACCATTCCATGTTAGTGTTACTCCGGAAATGGTTCTCTTCAAGATTTTTACTAACGTGGCAATCCAACTATCTGCCTCTCTCTTTACTTTATCGTAATTGACGTTGATGACGGGCTTCACAGACATGATCGAAGAGAAAAAGTCTGGAATACGGACATAGTTGGCATTGACCTCGTCGGAGTTGATGCCAATATGCGATCGTATGTCCCACGTGCTACCCGCTTCCGAAGAGACAGTGAAAGCCTGAGATGAAGAAAGCGAGTCTGTGAAAGTCGAATAGGAAGAGACTGGGGAGCCTGGCGACATCGTCGACTCTCCATCATCTTCAACGTCGAAGTGAATAGGATCCACTTGACTCTTTTCAGACATGTTGGGTACGCCGTCAAAGCCGATTCCAACGCCCATTTGCGGGCTTCCGAAGAGGGAAGAATCTGGAGAGATCATTCTAGCTTCAATAAAAAAGGCTTAGGAGTGATTCTTGTAATCAGGTTTGAAGGAGGCTTGAAGGACTGAAGATGGAGTGAAATGGACAACGATGAAGGACGGAACACGCTGCTTTTCAGTTCAACCAAAGATATCCACACTCTTCGCCCGGTTGGTTCATCAGTTCAAGCGACAGTCGAAAATTCCCGACATCATCCTTCGACCTTTCGCATCGCGACGATTTGGGTATGGGTCTTCAAGACTTGTCGTGCCGTATCGCTGCCCGGTTCTACGAGGGTCGTCTACCCCGGTTCCTGTCGCCTCCACAGTCCAGCATCCACCACACCAAAAGAGACTTGCAACTGTGCCGCAAGACTTCAGCCCGGCCAGACAAGAATTTTTGTTTATGTCAAGAAAGGATTCGTCATCTTCTCCGTCCTTATCGGCAACTCCGTAGTGGGAAGCCTCTCGTGAGATTCGACTGTCTCGGACGTGTCAAGTTGTTGTGAGTAAGATCAGCTTCTAGTTGAGCAAACATGTCTCAGCTTCTGCACAATTGTCTCTTCCTGGAATCATTTCTATACTGTTTAATTTACACAAAAAGGAAGTCTCGACTTGTTCAATGTCGCGATCCGGTGAGACAGATGCGAATCGAGGAACACTTAACCTAGAAACTGGGCTTTCTCGTAGAAGAGCAAGTAATGCCGATTAGAGTCCGCGAATGAAAGCTTAACATCATTGAATACATGTACTTCGTTAGCTTCAGAAAATTCTCAGGTTGGAGCGGTCCATGCTTCACATGTCTGTTTAACCGAGCGTTGTGTACAAGCTGACGAAACATTCTACTGTGAGCTATCCAAGGTGGCTCTATCCCGCCGGCAAGAGAACTGATGGATGTTCCAGAAGAAAAGATAGCCGGTAGTTCCATACATAATATGAGTTCCTACGGGAGTCAAGTATCCCTATCAACGCCTTTTAAAAATTCTAGCCTTTGGAGCACGAAATGATGTCTGGTCCTGCTTCTAATTCAAAGAATTGTTGCCCAAAAAAGTTTAGATTTCCATGCTAGCTCATACGGGTTATCATTAAATGCCAAGTGGAATATACATTACATCAGATCTCGTCTTCTGGCCCTTGCCAATGCTCGCAAAGTCCCCATATCATCGCATCATCGCTCGCAGACGTTCAACGACCGGCCTGTCCAACGAGTCTGTAAGTCACCGGAGTTATGATTCTTCAACTTGAACCCCTGTTCAATTCCCAGGTACCAGGAGTTGAATCCATCAACTTGGTGTTGGTTCAACTAGTCATGACCCGCTTCCCAGTCAAGACAATAGTAGACAGGGGCTTTATCGGCCTTCTTCCGCGCTGGGAAAAGCGATCATCTTCGAGGAAAAGTCAAACGCCACAGGCAGAAAACTCCACAGGTGTTTGCTTTGTGGCGTCAGCTGAAGTAGGTTTACATGGGTGTTCAACTAGTCGATACTAATTAGAGTGAATCCCCGAACTTTCCGACTGGGTACTGGATATTGCGGATAATCGGCTCACATCAGATTGGGCGTATTGTTTGCTTGCTAAATGTGACACGCACCCAATCATTCTCATACACGTTGCCATCCCTCCAGATTCTTTGATAGATGTGTGTTGAAGAGCGGTTGAATCGTCTTGCAAGAAGGCTTCGCCCTGCGGGGATTGGGTGGGCTTTCCAATGATCGTTGGGTACATGACCCGTGCCAGATGGAGTTCGCTAAGTTGACAAACATTGCTTGGCCTGCTACGCCGCGTGACCGCCTCCGCGTGACAGGGGACGCTTACATCTGGCAGCAAACAATGGTGATCTTCCTTACATTTCTTTGTTGGACATCTACAGACTACGCGATCCAGAAGCTCAGCACCGTCAAACTGATACAAGGTGTCAGAAACAATA